CCACCACTTAAGCTGAAGAAAAGATATGCCATCATGTATGCCACGTTGTTTGCATAAGAGTAACTTGACTGTAGTTGAACTACTTTTAATTATGAGTAGCATGCAGCTTGGCAAACTAAGTTCCCAAATAGCTTCTCCTACACCGGTGTGTAGATGACTGCATGTGTGAGATCATGAGTACCCTAAAGAGTGTACAAAGTGCAGTGAAATACTGTACATGTGAGTGACTCACCAAGTACTCAAACACAAGTGTAAGAGACTTCTGAGTGTGGATGATGTCATGAAGAGTCACAATATTTGCGTGTTTCAGGTCCTTCAGCAGAGACACTGCGGAGACAGAGACAGGTTATTCCTCAAACACGTGACATCTAGTACTTCACATGCCTTTATGAATATTCTTAGAAAAATGACAAGCACAAGCTACACAAAGTTAGTCTGAAGCTGCAAACAGAGCTACAAAATATATATTTTTTCCAAACATATATGCACTTTTGCTACTGTACCTTTAAAACTTTAGTTTGTATAATATATCTGGCACGTGACATCTAGTACTTCACATGCCTTTATGAATATTCATTGAAAAATGATAAGGACAAAACGACAAGCTACACAAAGTTTAGAAAATAAAAAATATATATTTTTTTCCAAACATATATGCACTTTTGCTACTGTACCTTTAAAACTTTAGCATGTAATTGAGGTTTGATAGCCTCAAACAACCTGTTTTTGCATTTTAATTAATGGTCTGGCTGTGCTGGGAAGAAGCTTTGACTAAACGTTACAGTACATAAAACTATTCAAAAGAGCACAAAAATCCTGCTTTCCATTTATAACCCTTTTAACCAGCTGAATGGCTTGAACAAAAGCTGCTCATATTGAATTTATGGATTCACTGGCTAATTTTGAACCTCTCACATATATGAATACAAATGTCGGTCACTGCGCAAGCATGTGGGAAATTTGGGGCAGTAGTTTGCTGATCTAATTTTAGTGTCAATCCACTACGGCACGCTTGTAACTCACCTTCTCTAATGGCAGTGCATGGAGCTCCTTCCTCGTGCTCCAAACGGATCTCCTTCAGAGCCACCAGGTTATCCGTCAACTTACTGCGGCCCTTATATACTGTAGCGTAGGTGCCCTGAGAGAGAGAGGAACGTGACTATGCTGTTTTGGCTGTGAATTAGGGTTATTATCATTAACGAAAACTATTAATAGATCTGTTCATCATTTAAATACAATTGAAACAAGTAAAGGATAATCCATGGCTAGCTGTGCATTAAACATTTTTGCAATGCAAAGAACCACCCGACGTGAAGCCGAGCGTTTAATGGGTGGATTATCCCACTTACACCAACCATGGCCAGCATTGACAATTTAAAGCTGTTATGCAGAGTTTGCAGTGCAATATTTGAACTGAAGGGTAAAAATTATGGTTTCTGCCTGCTTTATATTAGACACGGATAAAGTAGTGCCGTGCGTAAGATCAAATGTATTTGAATGAATGAATTACAGCATTTATTTGAGAGAGAAGCATTAGAAATGAGAGATGTGTGTGTGAATTACCTACGTCTGTGAAGCTGTGAGTTTAATTACTTCAAAACCAGCAGTGTTAACCTAACGTTGCTGAGAAATATAATGTAGCGATTCAGTGGCAAAGCAAATTTATTAATAAAACTTGTGGGGCAGTGTTGGTAAGTTTCTGTGCGGCCAAAAGTTGCGCTTCAATATGCCAGCACGTAATAGAATGGCGATTAAACTGACTTGGAAATACCTGTGTGTGCATTAAATGTGTTTATAGCACACCCTCCGGCCAATCAGAATCAAATATTCAGACAGACCATGAATTATTATTTGAATATTAGTTGAAAAACTTCAACTAAACCAAAAATTAGAATAGCTAACTAACTAAAACTGATTAAAAAAAAATCTAAATAGCAATATTTAAAAATAATAACGAACTAAAAACGAAAAATATAAGGATAAAAGCAAATTCAAAATATTAATGAAACTATAATGAAATAAAACAAATGAGACTACTATAATGAAATAAAAACTAAAATAACACTGCTGTTAAGTTACCTCCCCTAGTTTATCCAGTTTCACGTACGTCTCCAACTTCCCAAATCCAATCTCAGACTGCAGACACACAAAGACAAAAAGTATGTCACAACATGGTCCTAAAAAGCAACACTTGGCACAGGGAGACAGGGTGGAAAATTTCAAAGGCATTCATGTGAACTCATTAAAACAGCAAAAAAAAAAAAAAAAAAAAATCACACTGCTCCCGTTTCAGACGGCTGCGCTGGTCGCAGAGGTTTATATAATGCACACAGACAACATGAGCTTAAATATCCCTCCCCAACATAAATTGGGAACAACTGAAGTGTAACAAATTAGGCGTTTAAACGCATCACAGATTGTCAACAGCACTGAATATGGGTTTATATATCATATCAAGGGTGGCTGAAGTTGTAGTATTTTATAATAATGAACTGAAAAAACATGATTTCAACTTTCTGTTAAGAATATTTTCCTTTAAAATGAACACAATGTGGGAAAAAAAAACATTCTATAGCGAATTTAAAACATAATCATATATGATTTAAGTATATCTTATATGATTTAGTACGTCTTTCTCATACATTTGAGGTATTTTATATATATATATATATATATATATATATATATATATACACACACACACACACACACAGGAAGAGTTCAGATGCAAAAGCCTCTAAATGCCATTTGAAATTTTCTTCTAAAATGACCATTTTTATTAAGCTTGTATATTTAAGTTCAGTAATTTCATTGCCATTTAAGTGAAATTACTGAACTTAAATATGCAAGCTTGATAAAAAAATGATCATTTTAGAAGAAAATGTCAAATGGCACTTAGAGGCTTTTGCATCTGAACTCTTCATATATATGCACACACACAACACATATATATATATATATATATATATATATAATATATATATATATATACACACACACACACATATGCATATATATATATATACACATATATATATATACACACACACACACACACACATATACATACACACATATATATATATATATATATATATATATATATAAAAACAGTATATCAGTAAAAAAAGGAAAATAAAAGTCCCATAATGATCCTAAAAGTTAAGCTAAGTTAAGATTTTTGGGGCATTACTTTTTTGAGCTTCACTCTTTTTCCAATGACACTCTGGAACTAATATTTTGAGAACGGTTTTAGCAGCTAGACATGCCATGAAAGTCTGTCTTGTCTGTGTGTTCGCAATGATTTCAAAGCAATGATAATGTGACCATGAACAATAAGACAAGTCAAGGAGAAGAGAAAAAAACACTCAAAGAGAATGAACAGTAGACAGAGGGATGAGGCTAAAAGTCATGAAAATGGAACTTATAAAATATAAATATAAAATATGATATATTAAGTTGTGTTACAAAATGTATTAGACTAGCATGATATGACCCACATAAAAAAAGTGAACAACCTCATGAAAACACTTGATTTGAGCGGAAAATCAAAACTGGCCATAAAAAGAGACAGGCAAAAGAAACAGAGAAAGAATGATGGGAAAATAAGAGGGAAAACCAATGGAGAGGCATTACCAGCGACACTCTGCGTAATCTCCGGCTGAGCGGTTTGTCAAACAGGGGGCTGTTGAGGCTGAATTTCTCCAGGTAGCCATCAGGAAGCCTGATATCGGCAGGCAGAGACAGACGTTTATTTATGTCCTGAGAGGGAAGGAGGAGGGGAAAACCATTATTAGTTGAGGCCTAAAGGTTCTCTTACACTCCATAACAGTAATAACCCATCTGGCCCGCAGGCTAGTCATCTAACTGATGGCTACCATGCCGTGGAGCGTTTTCAGTACCCACAATGCACCATTAGTCACACACAACTAATGTACCTTCAATAGTAACAAACAAGGTAATGGTTATTTAATTCAAGCAAACAGAACAAAAACAGAAGGAAAATTGTATGTTTTTATTACCCAAACTCCAAACTGTCATGTATTATTTACAGAGTCACACTCTAAAAATAGCGGCTAGAAAAACAAGCCATGCACGGTCAGCAACGTGACGTACCTCTGAGGAAATTTTCCGACCAGGATTGTTTCTCAGACGAACTCGGACAGGGCTGTGCACCTCATCTGAGGACGTGGCCGAAGCCTGATCGCTCTCTCCGTCTGAACCCATTTTTACATCCTCGTGGACGATTTCTGCATTTTCAGACACAACCACACACACACAAAAACATTGGCATGCTATGCTGACGTCACAATTTCAATGATACAAATTATTGAATAAATCCTAAATGTCTCTCCACTTCTTCATTATTCTATTTTAAAACACGCAAGTAATGCTGATGTATCATCTGTGAGCCTGCAAATGCATCTCTTACACATTTAGCTGTCTGCTTCTCGCATCTGATGCATTTATAAGACTGGGAGATTCAAACCACTACAGCTGAGGAACTACTTAGGCTACTCTGAAAGGAGATCCGTCTCGTACCCACACAAAAGGAAAAAAAAATAGAAGTCATTATCTTCCACTCTCATTTATTCACTCGCTGCCCCATCCCCCCCATTAAATCATAACCCAACCTCCCACCCCCTCTCGCTCCACACTCAGCCTGTCTATATCAGTGTGTAACAGCGCAGTGGTTCTCAACTGGTTTTGCTTCTAAGAAATAAATCAGAATAATTAAAAACAGAAAAAAATCTAACACTGAAATGCAAAATTATTAACAAGACAACTGCAGAATAGGAATATTTGTCACATTTCTCCTGAATTTTCAATAGTTTTTAACGCTCTTGGTAGCCAATAACAGACGTAGATTAGGTTCTTTTCTTTTATCTCATATAATTTTTCGATGGCATGTAAACCCACATTTCTAGTCTGTTTTTTTTTATGTTAAAGTTTATAATCGATTGTCTTATCGAATCCTATGATTCATCTTATTTTATTTTCATCATTACCACTTGTATTCTACTTTGATTTATTAACATCACATTGTGTTACTGTCACTGCATATATTTTGTGTCAATTGCTTGTTTACAAAAATTACATTAGGTTTAAAATTACATTAGGTTTAATTGAAAGGCGATTGATGTAAACGTTTCCATTTTGGAATCGGTCTAAGTTTATTTCGCGTTTATTTATTACGTTTATTTTTATTCTAAGTGACATTTGTGAATATACAAAAATATTGTAGTGTCTGACTGGATGTATGGGCATTAAAGCAGTACTATGCAACTTTTTAAACTTTTTATTAGGGCTGTCAAACGATTAATCGCGAATAATCGCATCCAAAATAAAAGTTTATGTTGACATAATATATGTGGGTGCACTGTGTATAATTATTTATATATATATATAAATAAATAGACACACATCCTTGTAGTTGTATATATTTAAGAAATATTTTCATGTACTGTATATAGATTTATAAGTTATATTATATATAAATATTTTATATATAAAAAATAAATTTCTTGAATATACATGCATGTGTGTGTATTTATATATACAAAATAATTATACACAGTGCACCCACATATATTATGTAAACACAAACTTTTATTTTGGATGCGATTAATCGCGATTAATCATTTGACAGCCCTACTTTTCATATTATTTTTCCAAAACCTTTGAGATGGTACATCGACTTACAATAGGTTGAATGACAGGTCTGCCATAGCCTGACAGTGTCTGTATCGCTTTTACTGGCACTCTGTAACTTCGGAGAGCGGGTAGGAACCAGAGCACATAAAGAACTACAAAATTCGACTGCTTTACGGCATACGTCACTTCCCCCACTTCCTCAAATTCTGACGCGAGAGCCAAACGAGCGTTTTTTTCCCCCTCTGTATGTTGTCATGGGTGAAGCAGTAAGTAAAACCAAGAAGCCAAAGGTTTTGTCAGAGGACAGTAGAAAGAGAAAAAGGGAGAGTGGCAAAATAAAAGGACGAGGATCAATATTGGTCCAGCGTTAGCTCGCTGGCGTCACGCCAAAATGAGCGAACAAGTGATTTTTTTTCAAACTAGTACTATTTTTAAAAACATTAATTCGTAAGACTACTCCACAAAAACGTAACTAAGTCCCCCGACTTCGGTCCGGTGCATCAATCTTCCCCCGCCTAGCAAATGTGAAGTGCATCAGAAACAAAACGCACGCAATAAGTTTACTATTTCCGATGTGTAGCTTTGTCCCTTGTAGACTGCATTGCTTTCTTTTGAGGGCGCTTAACACACTCAAGCATCCTCGTAGAGCCGGGGCAGACAGCTCGCGCCAGCTCGAGACGTTATAACTGATTACTGAGTTTGGTAGGGGCTAAATTCTTGCAAGTAAATGCATGATTAGACGGACAAAATAATCGGTCAAAAATAATGCCTGCAGGCTGATAGTCATGTTTGTTATTTATTTTTCTGGTGAAAGTGTCTTGCCTCAGGCTATTGAAAAATCGATTTTTCAAATTTGCAAATTCATCTATGGTAGCTTGATATTACAATATTGACGATATGGCTATTATCTACCAACAAACATTGAATTGAATTAGCATATCCATTATGTAAAACAGTAGCCAATAGGCTAACGTTACTATAAAGATGCTGGCTTGTAAACGTGAGCTACGCGATCTTTTGACGTTTGGAAAAAAAATAATGAAATTATATTCATATGACATGCTGAAATATATGCCAATGTACTTGGGATGAAGACATTTCACACGCAACGCTGGAGTCTGCCCAAAAGACCTGAGAACTCCTTCCTTCTGCAGAGTTCGGGGGTATCGCTTGTCAACAAATGCACGCGTGTATTCCCTAGTGTAACCATGACAGATTTTACGACAGTAGTAGAAGACAATACTCTTTCCCAACTCTAGGGGGACCCCGAGAGGTTACTTTCCAAAAGAACATAATGCTGCTTTAACAACAAAAGACATGGGAAATGTTTCTTTCTTTCTCTCTTTATAAGCATATTTATTTTGCCATCCTAATTATGCACAATTAAAGTGTTAGTTTAATTTGTATTATTTGCATTTAGCATTGCACTTCCCTGGGTTGCAACCCACCAATTGAGAACCACTGTAATAGTTGAATGTGTCTACACTGCGTTATACGAGAGTCCAAGCTGTGCAGTAGAGATGGGAATCAAGAACCAGTTCAATTTTGTGTAAGAAAACACGGCAACCGAATGATTTTATGACGATCAGTTCCGTTGACCATCTGAAACGCTTGCAATCCTCCAACAATGTGGATGGAACTGCTATATTGCACATCCAATGTGTATGTGAATCAACATTTAAAGGATTAGTTCACTTTTGAAAAAACTTTTGCTGATAATTTACTCACCCCCATGTCATCCAAGATGTCCATGTCTTTCTTTCCTCAATCGAAAAGAAATTTAGGTTTTTGATGAAAACATTCCAGGATTTTTCTCCATATAATGGACTTCAATGGGAACCGGATGGTTCAAGGTCCAAAAGATAGTGTTAATAACAGTTTCAGATGCAGCTTCAAATGTCTTTAAACGACACCAGACGATGAATAAGGCGGGCGACGTAGCCGGAAGTACAGAATCAAAATCGTCCGACATCGTTGTTTTTCCTTTTAATTCCTTTTTTTGTAAACAGTGTTTGAGTTAGTTTGCACGTTCAACCTGTGCGTTCAACTTGTAAACACTGACTCTGTACTTTCGGCTACGTCGCCCGTGACCTTTTGAACGTAATTACGTAATACGTGACGTTGCAAACGCGCCTCACAGAATAGAGCAAGGCTAGCATTTGTCCTTAGAAAAGTTACATTTTTGGAATAAGTTTTGAAATAACCGATCGTTTCGCATGATAAGACCCTTATTCATCGTCTGGTGTCGTTTAAAGACATTTGAAGCTGCATCTGAAACTGTTATTAACTGTCTTTTGGACCTTGGACCGTCTGGTTCCGATTGAAGCCCATTATATGGAGAAAAATCCTGGAATGTTTTCATCAAAAACCTAAATTTCTTTTCGACTGAGGAAAGAAAGACATGGACATCTTGGATGACATGGGGGTGAGTAAATTATCAGCAAAAGTTTTTTCAAAAGTGAACTAATCCTTTAAGCAAGTGGTTTATTGTTTCTCGCAATTAAAAAGTCTGAATAAAGCGCTTTTTCAGGATACATATGCCTTTTTGTAGACATCAATTGTATGAGATAAATTTAGCAAAATAGTAATAACAGATCAGAAGCACTTACACAATCAGAAACAGCATACATTCTTAAAAATATATATTATTTCATCTTTGCTGCCTATCTCTCTTAAACCTACTATCTCAGTCGTGGATTTTGAGAAGTTGCTTTGTCATTACTGTTCTGCTGATATGATCTAATCGTTTGAAAACAGGCCTTTAAGGGAAGTGAATGCAAAAGGAATGGAATCATTAACAGAAGCGATAAGGAACATGGAATCGGAAGCAACAATTCCTGACGATTCCCATCCCTACTGTGCAACTTCACACACATCACACTCTGGTCCACTGTGTGCATGCGTGTGAATGTACCGAGGCGTGTGGTGTGGTTGAGATAGGAGCTGAGACTGCGGCCCAGGCTGCGTGGTCTGCGCAGGGCGCTGCTGTAGGACTGCAGGAGGGAGTGCATGCTGAAGGAACCCCCCGAACCTCTCACTGAACCCCGCAGACCGCCACTGCCGCCAACTGGCATGGCCTCTGGGAGGGAGGAGAGGGGAGGAGGACGACACACAGAGGAAATGAGGACGAAGGAGAAGGGGGGGAAGGGCAGAGAAGGAGCCGGGAAGGAGAATGTAAATGTGGCGGGACACATAATGGAATTGAGCATTATGGGTAGGGGAAAGAAAAAGGGGTGCATAAAGAAGATTATCGTGTTATGGCGATAAAAAGAAAAAAGTGGTGGTGTGAGTGATGAAATGGTAATGTTGGGTTGCAAGAGTTTGAGATTAATAGGGAAGAAGGAAAAGGAAGAAGAAAAACGAGGTTGGAGGGGGAAAGGTTACAGGATGAGAAGGAAAAAAAAGAGGAAATATCAAATTAAAAACAGAAAAAGTCAAATTTTAGAGCATGCATTCATTTTTCCAAAAAAAGTATTATTAAAGGGTCAATTTACAAGGAACATCTTCAGTGTTAGTAAATGAGGTTCAAGGGCCACAATTGAGCAACGACACTGATAAATTCATTTTCTCGCTGCCGGTAATTGTTTCTAATGATTCTCTGCACTGTGGCGGCGATTAAAACGGCACACAAGGGCATCGATTCATCAGCATATGAAAGCCAAATGCATTTCAAATTTGCGCAGGGTTTGGAGAAAGGCCAAAACACACTACAAAAGAAAGAGATGGATTTGCAATTTGATGATATGTTGGCATATGGTAATTACAACACTTAGCATGTACATATATATATCATCAGCTTGGGTGAGACGGTTATGGGGACAGATGTCAAACTGAAGCCGTTTCGTTGAAACCGTCGAGATGAGCCGGAACTGTTAGTGCAGTTAGCTTGAGATGGGAAGCCATGCTGGAAGACGCATGCTGATTTGGTCAGAGGGGGTAACAGCAGGCAGGAGACGGTAGCTTAGCTCAACGCGCACAGAGCCGTAGCCAGCCCTGACAGATTGGCTTTAAAACTCATTTCAATCTATTAATGCAATGCTTTACATCTGCATATCCGGATCACACTTGCAGGCAACACGAAGGGAGGCGGAGGTGAATGTATGCGTTCGATGACGAATGGCTGAAAGACACGTCATGTGTTTGATAAAAACTCCTGGTTGAGCTTTAAAAGCACATCGACTGAAGCGTTCAAGTAAATCAGGACTTTTAAATTCATCATGGAATCAAAGTCGACTCTTACTTTCTGTATAAATGTCTTATATGTTCATCAGTGCATGCTACTCGTATACAAAGCACAACAAATGTGTTTTCATCTTTCATCAAAATACTTAAAGGAGTAGTTCACCTTTAAAAAAAAAACTTTTGCTGATAATTTACTCACCCCCATGTCATCCAAGATATCCATGTCATTCTTTCTTCAGTCGAAAAGAAATTAAGGTTTTTGATGAAAACATTCCAGGACTTTTCTCCATATATTGGACTTCAATGGGAACCAAACGGTTCAAGGTCCAAAAGACAGTTTCAGTGCAAACTGCGAACTGTTCAAAGGAATTTAAACGATTCCAGACGATGAATAAGGGTCTTATCAAGTGAAACGATCGCTCATTTAAAAAAAAAAAAAAGTTTAAGTTTTATAAGCTCAAATGCTCGCCTTGCTCTGTACTGTGACGAGCGTTCATGACTCTCCTGTTCAAACTTGTTTATCAAAATGAACGAATCGTATTTCGTGTCATTTGGTTCATTCAACGAACAAAATGAATGAGTTGACTCAGGAAAAGATTTGTTCATTTTGATGAACGAGTTCGAATACCAGGTGAAAAAGACGTACAATTAAGTGTATTAAAAATGTACTTAAATATGTTTTTAATACAATACAAATATAATGTAATGCATTTTCAATACACTTAATTGTACGTCTTTTTCACCTAGTCATGAACGCGCATCACAGAACAGAGCAAGGCGAGCATTTGAGCTTATAAAACTTAAACTTCGCTTTTTTATTTTTTATTGAGCGATCATTTGGCTTGATAAGACCCTTATTCATCATCTAGAATCATTTAAATCCCTTTGAACAGTTTGCAGTTTGTACTGAAACTGTCTTTTGGACCTTGAACCGTTTGGTTCCCATTGAAGTCCATTTTATGGAGAAAAATGATGGAACGCTTTTATCAAACACCTTAATTTCTTTTCGACTGAAGAAAGAAAGACGTGGACATCTTGGATGACATGGGGGTGAGTAAATTATCAGCAAAAGTTTTTTTAAAAGTGAACTACTCCTTTAACAGTATTTTTCGCTATATTTAACAAATTATTTAACCTAATATAATCAAATCATGACGATAAAATAATGTTCCTGCTGAATATTCTGCATTGTTTTCTATTGCATGCTGTCAGCAAAGACAGTCTATTTTCATATTACATGTCAGATGCAAGCTAACATTTAGCCATAGTGCTGTAGAATCAACAGAAGTGCAGCACCTCCACTGAACACTGCTGTAAAGTCAATGCACTGTATTCAAATTTATAGCTACTCTGTTCCAGATTTACATCATAGCTGAAGTAAAATCCACAAATCTCTCATTAAACCATAAGCATAAAGACAGGAAATTAGCAATTCAACTAAAACTACATATTTTACACTCGACATGCTGAGAATTACAGCACTTAGAGAAGTCTGTTTACAGAATAAATGTTCTTTTTGAAGTCTGGCCATTAACAACAATTCTGGCCACTTTCTGGCTGCCATTATATAAAAACCCTGGAACAGATTGTACAGATGGCGCTGAATTTGAGCTGTTTTCATCCCCTCCGGTAAGAACGCTCTCTCTCATGTAAGCTACACACAAACACATACACACTGGTTATGAGTGTGTGAAATATTACATGCCACAGAATTCATGCACATCCCAATATTGGGAAAGAATGACTAGCACGGCCTAGAGATGAAAGGTAATTATGTTGCAAATGTTTGGGTTAGATGTGCTTTACCACACTAACTTTGATTAGTGATCATAAAACAGATAAGTACAAGTTTGCACATTTTCTGCATCAATTGCATCTGTGGAATACGGCAGTTATGGCCCGTTCACACCGAGGACAATAACTGTAACGATAATATAGTTCGAAAAATCTTTCGAAATATAAACAGAACAGCAGAGTTCAGATGACAACTATTACGATAATGTCACTGAAATATGATGTCATTGGAATCACTTTCAGAATTATTTTTTTCCCCATTGATGAATGATAAAAACATTGACAGCCAATCAGAATCCATCCTGCTTTAAAGCAATTGAGAATTTAGACAAACCTTCAGCGATACGATATTGTGCATTGGTGTGGACGCCAAATAAAGTTATCGTTCTTGGTGTGAATGGGCCTTTAAACATGGTAAAATTAGTTAATCAGTTAAAAGTAGCATAATAGTCTAAATTTTTAATAAACAAAAGCAAGGGATGAATTTTAGTTCTTAGGAAATCAGTGAGTTTGGAAAGAACTCACATTCATTTGAGTTTTTTGTGATTTAATTAAATAGATATAGGCACTGAGTTAGGCATGGGACGGTATGAAAATTTCATATCACGATTATACTGTCCAAAATTATCGCGATTATCAATATTACCATGGTTTAGTTAAAATGAGATGAAAGTGTTCAAAAAGAACTGATGATCACATGGAAAAAATTTCAACAAGTTGTATAATTGACAATCAACAAACAACAAATTTTAACCATATCACAACGGACGTGCGCTCTCGTTTCATTCAAATACAACTTCCGTCTTGCGTCTCCGGTTTTTGATTATATTGAAAATGAAATCAGAGATATACAGAGTTTGATGATATTGGTGTGATATATCTTGTCTGGACGCTTGTTTTGCAAAATTGAATTTATAAACAGGTAAGATTTAAAACATTAGCTAATCTCATTATCAATTCAATATGCCCCCGTCATTATGTGGTTAAAATAATATCAGTGTAATAAGTGATGCATCTATACATTACCATCCCTTAAAATGTCACTCTTAATGATAGTCTTATTTGAAATTGTTCGTTTGTCTTTGGCTCAAATCCACTTGCTGCGAACTTTTCTTCGCGGACGCTTCACGTCTATTTCAAGTGAGTGACATAAAATGCTTCAACTCAAAACAACATTTCGTGCCCAATTGTTTCCCAGACGTAGATTTGGTATTGAGGTCAAAGTTAACCTGCCTTGCGTTCGCTATAACGTTACAACAGAGGGTGATGCTCACAGAAGACGACTCGGCAGATTTGAAGTGTTTCTATTGCAGTGACTTTTTGTTCGGCAGACAGGGTAATTTATAATTTACTCATCCTCAATCAAGTTTCCCTCAGGAGGACTTTTGTAAAAGCCAAAATATGACCACACCTCAGATTTGGTCCTTCTAAAAACACGTGCTGCATCAAGACTGTTGCTGGCCGACAGGATTTAAAATCGCGATAATCAAACACGCTTTTAATGATAATAAAATTTTAAAGGATAATACTAACCGTCAGTATATTTTATCGTGGTTTATCGTGAAAACGGTAATCGTCCCATCCCTACACTGAGTGAACCCTGACAACAGCCATAAATATTAACATTGTCATTTTACAGTTAAAATAAATAAATTGAGTATTTAAGAAAAAAAGTCAATTATTATTTTAATTTTACAATAGTAGCATCACTTCTATGCATTAAATAATTTCTATAATTTTATTTAATAACAATAATGATAGGAATAATAAAACATTCATAGTTATTATTTTATAGCCTTGATACGCATTTTAATAACAACATTTTGCAAACCTGGAATTCTTTTAATCACAGCTGTGATTAAAAGAATTCCAGGTTTGCAAAATGTTGTTATTAAAATGCGCAAATATCACAATTCGATTTTTCCACAAATTGTGCAGCCCTAATGGGCACTTTTCTATGCTTTACTGGTTAAGTGCAACTGGATCCATTCAGTAAACCACGTGTGTGCCGAGTGCGTGTGGCTTCCGTGCCGTATTTCAAGAAAGTGAGCGCTACTGTACCGGAATCGCTGTGCGCCCCTGTGTCCTGAGAGCTGATGGTCTCACTCATGGTCTTGTCCCCGCTGTTACCCCCTCGCAGTGTCAGGGACAGCTGCCGCTTGATCTTCCTCATGCGGTCCATCAGTGGGGGTAAGGGGGGCCGAGATGAGGTGGGTGGAGGGGCTGCCACTGTTCAACCGCCCTATCGGAGACACACAAACACACAAGCAGGACGTTACAAGCTGCTTCCTGGTACATTTGATATCTTCCGTGATTACCGGACAGAGCAAAGTCATGCATTTTCAAGGACGCCACTCTCTTAAGACTGTAATGATTCAATATATTATGGGATAAATATTATCACAAAGGAGTAGTTCACCTTTAAAAAAACTTTTGCTGATAATTTACTCACCCCCATGTCATCCAAGATGTCCTTGTCATTCTTTCTTCAGTCAAAAAGAAATTGAGGATTTTGATGAAAACATTCCAGGATTTTCTCCATATAATGGACTTCAATGGGACCCAAACGGTTCAAGGTCCAAAAGACAGTTTCATTGCAGCTTCAAAGGGCTTTAAATGATTCCAGATGATGAATAAGGGTCTTATCAAGCGAAACGATCACTCATTCTAAAAAAAAAAAAGTTTAAGTTTTATAAGCTCAAATGTTTGCCTTGCTCTGTTCTGTGATGCGCACTTGTTTTCTTGTCTCCTGTTCGAACTCTTTGCCCGAGTCAATTCGTTCATTTCGTTCGTTGAATGACACAAAAAAAGATTCGTTCATTTTGATGAACGAGTTCGAACAGGAGAGTCACGAACGCACACCACAGAACAGAGAAAGACGACCATTTGAGCTTATAAAACGTAAACTTTTTTTTTAATGAGCGATTGTTTGGCTTGATAAGCCCCTTATTCATCGCCTGGAATCGTTTAAAGCCCTTTGAACAGTTTGGAGTTTGCACTGAAACTGTCTTTTGGACCTTGAACCGTTTGGTCCCCAATGAAGTCCATTATATGGAGAAAAATCCTGGAATGTTTTCATCTAAAACCTTAATTTCTTTTCGACTGAAGAAAGAAAGACATGGACATCTTGGATGTCCGAGTAAATTATCAGCAAACGGTTTTTAAAAAGTGAACTACTCCTTTAAGATTATGGGTTAACAATGGTAAGACAAATGTGGAGCAGAGAGGTGATTCAGGACAAAATGTGTATTTCATAAGCACTGAACTTTGAGCGGATGGCACTCCATGGAGTGGAAATCAAAGTGAGAGACATTAACTGTAAAAGGTTCACAGTAAGAGATCACAATCAACTGTAGTTGCACACATTATAGCAATAATAATTAGCAACGGTGTTTTCAAACTCATTTTAAATTAGATTGTTTTCATTTACAAATCAAGTGATTCAAGGATTGCAGTCGTTGCGGAGTTAAGTGTATTTAGGCCGGAAATCGAAGTAATCCAACTGGGAGACTCACAGAGAGGTGCAAACAGAGATCCATTAAAACTCTCTAAGAGAGTCTTAGAGAAGAAAGCACTAAACACATGTTAATGATCACAGAACAGACTTGAGCATGAACATTCATCTCAGTTCAGTGAAGTTCAAAGAAAACAGTGAGAGACTATGGGAATGTTGAGCATATTACTTTTTGCAGTATGCACAAACAAAACACCAGATGATCTACTACAATGTGCAGGACATAAAGCAGAGCACACCGAGTGGGATACCACAACGCAAAGCACTTAACAGTCTCGAGTCGACTTGACCTTCCATTTGCCGTATGACAATAGAATTGAACGTGATAACCATTACATCGCCTTCTTGACTCCTACTGTATAATTAAAAGAGCCTTTCCCGTTATGCATTTGCAGTAACGGTAGCTACAAATAATAAATAGCAGAAATAAATACTGGTAGCATCTGTATATGCTAGTCTTAAAGGGATACTCCACTTTTTTTGGAAATAGGCTCATTTTACAACTCCCCCAAAGTTAAACAGTTGAGATTTACAGTTTTCAAATCCATTCAGCCGATTTTCTGATATTTAGAAGAATATCAGTAACCAGACAGTTTCTGGTCTCATTGACTACCATAGTATATATTTTTTCCTACTATGGAAGTCAATGAGACCAAAAACGGTCTGATGACTGATATTTTTCTAAATATCAGAAAATCGGCCGAATGGATTCGAAAACGGTAAAACTCAATGGTTTAACTCTGGGGGAGTTGTAAAATGAGCCTATTTCCAAAAAGGTAAAGGTATTTTAAGATAGCAGGCTAATCAGTTAGGGCATGCCAAGCTAGCATGTAAGTATGCTAACCAGCTAATAAGCTACCAGTACATTAGATCTGTAGTATTTCAGTTTTGGCTGTCCCTAAATGTACAGCGGGTATTTTAAACAACAGCATAGAGAATATATAAGGAGGTAGCCTAGTTTTCCATTCATGAACACACAGCCTTAAAGAGAAAGCTAAATTATCCTCAGTGCTTGTGGGGAACACAGGGGCTTCTCTTTGGGAACAGCCAAAATGGCAGAAGGGTTTGCCTTTCCTTTAGACTAATCACATGCTTTGGCACAAAGATGGGCAACAATCTCAAATGCAAATCCAAGATTTGGGTCCTTGGACTTAATGTGACCCACTAACAAGTTGCCTGAGGATGGGATTCTACCCAGGCACAGGATTTCAACACTTCAGATATCATGTTAAACACAGGCCACATGTTCTTTAGAAATATTTCCTTAAGATTGAATGGAAGGGTTGTCATGTCACCTTTATTTATATAGCGCTTTTTAGAATACAGATTGTATCAAAGCAGCTTCACACACAGTGATAACATGGAAATACAACAAGGTTTGTTTCTAGAAGAAAACTGAGTCATCGTCCACTTTAAGTAAGGCAGATCAATAATATAGTTGAATATTAAATGTCCCCAACTAAGCAAGCCAAAAGCCGAGGCAACATTGGCAAGGAACCACTCCATGAGGTGAAAGAATGGAGAAAAAAAACCATGGGAGAACCCAGACTCAGTCGGGGGCCAGTTCTCCTCTGGCCCAGGCAGCATTACAGGTCAGAAGTCAGATTGGATCAGAATATTAATCCAGTTCCAATTGGTTGTAAGTCGAAGTCATAACTCCGGTATGTTGTCTGAAGTTGAAGTTGTCTGAACATCTGTGAGATATGATAACATTAACAAACCCCTCAAAAGTCAAAAGTAAAAGTGCAGTGAAGCGTTCACACGTGGCATTTTTGGTTCGATTAAAACCAACTCCGGTGCGATTGCTCTGTTAGTGCGGTTCATTTGAATAAGCCTGGTGCGCACCAAAAAAGCTGACCAAGACGCTGAAAAGATCTCGGTCCGCTTCCAAATGAACTCTGGTGCATTTCGACTGAAATATGAAGGTAACATGGACCAAATACATCTAAACGAACCAAAAACAGAATGTGATGTCACCTGATACGACCCTAAAAAAGACAATGGTAATGGTAATGGTAAGTTGTCCATTACAATTCGGTAGAGGCGTTGGAAATGCTGTATGCTCACAGCACATCTTCGTTTGTGAGTGGTATGGACTTACTTGGGAGGTGGACTTGGACTTGGTCCTGGTCCCCAATGCATCTTTTTGTTTTTTGATCATGGACTACATAATATATGCCCTTTTCTACTGGTAAAATTAGAAATTTGCCATTATCGGGACCCACAAAGATTCCCCCATTTCATTATTATACATTATATTCAACATTAAATATAATGTAGTACTGTGACTGAAACGCTGAAAACTGACGTTTTTTCCAACGCAGGACACTTGCGCTTTCAATGCAGGCATTGGTAAGCACAGAGAGTCTCCCGGTGCTCACTTAAAGCGTGTCAAAATGACTATCCCCAAACCTTATTATTAGTTCATCCAAAATGTAAAAATCTTCATTTACTCACCCTTATGTCGTTTTTGCGTGCCACACACACACTTAAACGTCTGTGTTTACTACAGTATGTGTGTTGTAAATCTGTTCATCATATAAAGCCATCCTGTCTCTTAAGAAGACTTGATTGGAGTACACCACTCGATTGATTATATTGATATAAAAACTGATATTTTTTTTGTCTTCTTTAGGTTCAGTGTTAAAAATGACAGTGCAAACGCTAACCGAACCAGGACAAAAATATATATAATTTTCTTTTTTTTGGTCCGGACTGGAACAAAAGAACCAAGAGAACTGAACTGTGTGAACACACCATTAATTTGCCAAATAGACAAGAAAATACACATCCCAGCAATATTTCAATGTGATAGTCATGTAAAATCCAAGTTGATTGGTTTAAAAGCACATTAAGCAGAATGCATATGGTTTGGAATCATCCACGCAAGCGATGACAAAAGGCCATGTGGTGGCACATAGTGAACAGTCCAAAGGGTTTTAAACCACTCCAAGCCAAACAGTTGGAAGGTTAACACCAAACATATTATAAATAGTTGAAATACTTGAAATAGTGAGAGTGGAGTTTCCTTTCTTCCCTAAGGGAGAATCACGGAAACACGCCTGAAATCCAAGACGGGGAAAAAAAATACAGATGTTCAAGGGAAATATAAAGCAGAAGAGCAAATGGGGACAGAGCCAATGGCAATAAAGGCACTACAAGGCATTTGAAGCCTCTATGGTTCATCTTACCTATAAACTATTATAAACCAACCAGCCTAAAATCAGATCTTCTGAATCAATCACGACAATCAACAGGAAATACAAGACGATCCATAAACATTCGCTCTTGTTTAGGGTAAAACAATGCCAACAGCCCTGAAGACGGACTTTGACTCTGGACACTATGGAAAATATTTAGGCTATTTTCATATTTTGCATTTTGAACAACAATCAGTCGCATTCAATTGGAAAAGAAATGTGGCTGAATGTCTGACAAAGCAGTGTGTTATACGATCAGCTGCTCTGATGCAAAGATAAATCTAGTCATTGTCCAATCATTTCAGTAATCAAAGACAAACAAGACACAGTTATAAATATATATACGCAAGCTTAACCTGTTTGCCCTCCACCCATTTTCCACTACACACAGGCTTAATTTGAGACATAATGAGCGATTGTGGCCCCAGAGGAGAGCATCAGTGGTCTACACTGGGTTAAGGGCCGTTTTCAGCTCTCAGCAACGTCTTACTTAGTGCTGCTTAATCAGGGTTGATGACTCTTTAAGACTCTTTCTATCACTTTTCATTACTGCCTTGAGCAGTCGACCATCAAAACCGCATGCAAGACAGCATTCTCTGGGCTAGCTAACATAAAAACAGACTGCAAACAGACCGGTTTCAGAGCCACTATGTTCCTTTAACTGACCTGCATCAATACGGCACAGGCTGAGGCTCATTTATCCACTCCATAAGTCAATAAAAGCTTAATGGGGTTCAGACAAATGACAGTGACAGCTTGGTCTTCGCCGATGTGGATGAGTTTACAAACCAGCTCAGTCAAGCGGCAAAAAGCGGCCTGTTTCCTGTAAAACATCTTTAATTCGCATTTGATCATATGCAAGAGTTAAACAAAGCACCAGTTCATACTAGCATAGCCACAAACATCCCTCTCCAACTAGACTGACATGCATCCAAACACAAGGTGACACCCCAACGGGGGTGACCTTCATAGAGACTGATTCTGGAACACCAGGTCCAGACAGCACTACATCAACCAGCCTCTAAGCGCAAAAGTGTTGCTGTCGTTTCTCTGTGGGAGCAGAAAAGTTGAAGAAGGTGTCCGTACAGTGCAGCACTTTATTAATATTATTATGCTGGTGACACATGCCAGGACTGGAAAAATCAGCCTGCTCAAGTAGGTTACTTTCTAACTGGACAATGCTATTCATTGAGGAATTATGGGATCGCACATTCTCAAATACCACCGCAATAATGAAGTCCTCTTGCAACAGGATGCAGCATTTGTCAATTATGCCCAATGCTATAGAACACACTACCAAATATTAAGTAGAGCCAGACCGATATATCGGCAGGCCGATATTATCGGCCGATATTAGGCATTTTCCAAATTATCGGTATCGGCAGTTATAATGGCCGATAAATGAATATTTTATATCATATTTTGATAATGAATATTTTAACAAAATTTGTGACTATCATGTCCAGTTTTGCTGCTGTTAAATAAGCCGAGAATGAACTGGAATTAACTAGTAATAGTTACATTATGTTGTCTTTTAACTTTTAACAATGTGACTGAAGTATTTCTTTAATAGCGCATGACAGTTATAGCAATGAGACGCATCATCTCTCCTTGGCATGTTATTTTGAAAATATAGCCTATGGTTTACAATTTGTTGCGCGTTTCTGAAATAATAATTAAGAAAAAATATCGGCCGATATATCGGAATATCGGATTTTAAAACCAATAAATATTTGTATCGGACTTCAAAATCCTTTATCGGTCGGGCTCTAATATTAAGGAAGCTGGCTTGGTAACTATTTTTGAAAGAAAGCTAAAAACGGATCTTCTTATTTTAGCTTTTAATTATTTATAGAATTTTTACTCGTAGCTTATTGTAATGCAGTTTGCAAAATGATTTACAAAAAATTATAAAAATCCTTGAAAGATAGCCTATCATACAAATAATGTTTATTATTGTTATTCACTTACTCAGAGGAATAGTTTGTTGTCAACAATGTGTCACGTACAATAGGCTATATGCACGCATAAGTTCCACATTTGACGCAAGGCTGCTCTTGAGTTTCCGGTTGGAAAGATTTAAAGCGGAGGAAAACGGGATTATGGCAGAGTCTTCAAAATGTACCGTCCTCCCGTCTTTGAAACGAAACTTTAATACGTTTTTATGTAATTTTATATACAGTTATGTTTATTTAATATAATAAACAAAGAAGCATAAACAAAATGAGGGGTGTCTGTTTTGTCTGTTTTTGTGACTAACGTTTCTTTAGTATAGCCATAGAGTATAAAAAACAATATAAATCCTCGGTATAGCATTGGACTCTACGATCGGCGGAAGTAATCCAGCATCCTTAGACCACCGCCGTGCATTGAGCCCATTCCAAAGTCAGGAACGACGCCAGAAATATTGTGGAAAAAAATGGTATGAAGGTACTTTGGGAATATATCTTTAATCCTACAATACCAAAAACAAGATCATATAAACAAAATATGCCAATGCTTTAAGGAAAACAGCCTACAATACCAAAAACAAGATTATGTAGCCAAAACATGGCAATGCTTGACCAATGTTTTTTTCAATGGCCGATGCGGATACTGAGACTTAGAGAGCAAGGCTTATTACACAATCACTGAAAATAAAATACACAGAAGTGCTAAAGAGAAACAAACACTAATTCTACTAAATATTTCCCTCAAATACTCTAAAAAAAACTATATGCTTTGAAAAACAAAGGTGAAGTACATGACAACTTCTGTTTATCAGTCGATCATGAACAGATTTCAGTCAATATATCCTTCTATGCGAGCATCAATGCACGCTCCTTTGGAATTATTCGTCTTGCTTCAAAGCCAATTACTCCCAACACGGAAGCCAAAGGTCAAGTGCTTTCCCTAATTCTTTCAAGTAAGCAATCAATGGAAACTATTACTTAAATGTGGGTTGATGAACGCCATCAAAATTATGCATGCTACTGCTACAACCTGTGTAAAACTTAAATACTCCCAAACCATCTGTCACAACCTTATGATAATACTCCAGAAACCAGCCCACTCAACATGCATTTACGCCTCCAACAAGCCATTCTGAATCAGATGGGCAACTGTCAAACATGTGCCTCTATCTGCACAGACTTGAGTCTTTAACTGGTGACTTCTCTTTGCAGCATCTTACACAATGTTTTGATCAAGTCGGACAGGATTACCCTGACCCTACCTCTTTCCCCATTCCATCAGTTTAAGTAGCACCAAAAGTGGTTTCACCAGCTGGCAAATCATTGTGCTCTGGAAGGATCATTATGGCCTTTTAATGCAGCTTTAAAAACGCAGCTTTACCCCAAGAATAACATGAAAACAATACCACATATTCACAACAATGACGTAGACTTATATAACTGCACGTCATGTTTTGAATGAGTGACGTTACGCTGTCATCACAAGATACATTTCCACAGTAAAGTACGTCATCGATTATGTTTCCTCTCTTTTAAAACCATTTCACGAAATATTATCTTTTATAATATAAAAGTTAAACAAAACTGGCTAAAATGAACATACATTTTAATAAATGCATACTGGATAAGCATTTGAGATAATTCAATGACATTATTAGAGCTCAAAATTACTGAATAAAACACACGACTCCCTCAGGATAAGATACTTACTCAGGCAAGCCATAAATATGTCAAAAATCAGGAAATTAAACATTGATTGCAGACTGCTGACTAATTCACAGTAAAACACACATAAACAAGCTAGCCAGGTTAGCTAGTTAGCTGGCTTTAAAGACCAGCATGAAACGGCCATTGTACAGGAATGCGAGAATGATTCCTCTTTATTTTTATTCATTCATTCTAGTTTTTCTGTTGTCCATTCGCATATATCATAAAACAATCTCTCAGTTTCCATTCAGACAGCCCAACCGACCCAAACAGGATATCACACACATAGTCCGGCTCAAATAAACTCACTCAAAAACGGCCTAAAATGTACTTTTACGGTCACATTATGATGCTTTTTCCACTTTAAGATGAAATATCAGGGTGGACAGGAGTGGTTTTCTTACCCGTGGAATTGAGATCCGTGTGCGCTTTTGTAAGTGAGTGCGTTTTGCTCGTGTAATCTTAACAGCAGTAATAAAATCCCAAAGCCGCCTCGCGCTCCCAATAGTCCTCGGCCATGATCATCTAGTGCTGCTGGTGCTGCTCGTCCGGTCTCCAATGTTGCTGGAGCGACTCCTCCAGACCCCGCATGTCTCACTACTGCTCCTTTTTGCTAAAACGTTACAGCAGCTGTTCCTTTCCTTGCCAAATCCGGACTGGAGTGGATCATGGAAGCGACAGAGCAGCTGCGAATAGATTCAGGAGTCACTCACTCCTCCACCACCACCAGGACTCTTTGGATAGGCTGGATAACATATAATTATGCCGTTTGGGTAATTCGTATGTAAATAATGAGTTTTATGTTATAGCTCAATTTTATTATAATGTATTCTTGATTCGACTGGTTCAGTAAATTATGCGTCCCTGCAGTCATGAAATTGAAATATGAAGTGCAAGCGTCTACCCCCTAATAAATGACACTGGCTTATAATGGGCTGATCCAAATTAAATTCAAGCAAGTCAGACTGTACCATTCATGCCGAATGCGCAGGGGAGAGGCAGTGGGAGTGCAGTAATGCAGAACGCCGTGAGCCACTGTATGTCATGCTGAGCTGTTACATTTTTGCCATATTATTTGTTTACGAAAATACGTTAAACAGCATTTGTTTGTAATAGGATCAGTTTTATCAGTTAAAAGGTTTTTAGGGTGGATCCACCCTAGGTTAGGCCTACTGTAAGATCACGAGTGTCTATCTGTCTGTCTGTCTGTCTGTCTTTTTGGTAGTTTGAAGTAATAAATCATCATTCAATTAGGATTATTTGTAATCAAGCATAAATTCAGACATTTAAAATATTTATATATTTATTTCAAATAAAATAAACATCCCCCAAATTTACTTGGGAAAAACATTGATCATATCCTATAATTTTATATGTGAAATGTTTATTTATTTACTTAAAATTATTTTAAAGAATGCAGTACATTTCAGTGTATCCTGCAATGTCAAAAATGGCATAACAACTTTAATCACATGTAATCTTATTAGAGCATTTTGTTTTGAATATCTAGCCTGATGGACTGACAGCATTGATTTATATGATAATTAAACGAAATGGGTTAAAGGGGCTGGGGAACCTAACCTGAAATCTAACCCCCCTCTCTCTCTGTCTGTCTTTCTTTGTGTGTGTGTGTGTGTGTGTGTGTGTGTTGCAGAGCAGTGGAGCCCCACAGTGAGTCACCACTCTGGCATGCCTCAGAGCCCCCAGCAGTTACTTTAGTCCTGGAAACCCACTGTATGGGGGTTGCATCAATGTGCCTTGGGTGCAAATGAACATTTCTTTTGTTCTTTTGATAGCTTTCAACATTTTTGCTTCACCAGGGAAGATACCGAATGCAGGGAATTATCTGGAGTTAGAGGTTTTGTGCACACCGTGACCCTGTCTGTATGTGGGTGCTGTATCTGAACCATGTCACCAGGCTATTTCATTTAATAGTCATCACTATTAAATGAAAAAATTAATATATCAAAAATATATATCTATCAAGTATAAATACACAAAATACAACATAAATGAGCAGTAAATATTTATACGCTGCAAGGTTATACTTTTTGTTCAGTAACCATGTATTAGGAGAGAAAAAAGCATTACAAATCGTGTTGTTTTTCAACATCCATGCTCAGAAACCCTTAATTACTGTATGTGTAACTCTAGCCACCAGCAAGGGCACACATGCATGTTCGACCTTGTCTTGATTAAGAGAGCACTTCTGAAAATGCCTCTTTTACCCACCAGTAGCCACTGTTCAGCCAGGTCAGGTGACTTCAGCACCAGGCCATGCTTATTATTTCTTGAAGATGACCACATATGATTGGGCTCTCATTAGAAATAAGGATGTTATTAAGGTCTCATTTATGCTGGTTAATATTAATGCAGATAAGAGGAGTTAAAAAGGCAAACCCATTGACGCATGCTTTAATGTGCTGCATTCATTAGCGCACAGTCACATTTCAAGTGCCTAACATGTTAAGAGCGACACTGCAACACCATTATGTAGAATTAGATGTTCACAGAACCACAACACAGAATGCCGGAGCTCTGATGTACCTGTGTGTGTGATGCACAAACTGTGTGTGTGGATGATTTAGATTGGGAATGACATGTACTACATTTAAGATCTGTAACCTCTCTCTCTCTCTCTCCTTTCTCTGTTTTCTCATAAGCCTCATGCATGAGCTCATGTTGTGTGTTCAGCACTATGCCATGCTTATTACAGTATTTCTTGAAGATGACCACATATGATTGGGCTCTCATTAGAAGAGCTCCTAGACGTTTCACATTTGAAAAAATGGTTTTACAAAGCAAATTTAAAAATCTAATCTAATTTTAATCTAATCATCTGGTAGGAACATGCACAGATGCTCAATATCAATAATATAAATTTAAAAAGTGGACAATTTCGGCTGATAATTGTAATGGCATATAGAATGAACGCATAGAATGTGTGTGTGTGTGTGTGTGTGTGTGTGGTTAGAAATTAGTTAGAAAAAAGAGAGATTAGTTAGAAATAAAGATAGATTGGTTGAAAGAAAGAAAGAAAGAAAGAAAGAAAGATTAGTTAGAAAGAAAGAAAGATGGATTAGTTAGAAAGAAATTTTAGTTAGAAAGAAAGATTAGTCAGAAAGAAATAAAGAAAGGTAGATTAGTTAGAAAGATAGATAGATTAGTTAGAAAGAAATAAAGATAGATAGAAAGAAAGAAAGATTAGTTACAAAGAAAGAAAGATGGATTAGTTAGAAAGAAATTTTAGTTAGAAAGAAAGATTAGTCAGAAAGAAAGAAAGAAAGGTAGATTAGTTAGAAAAATAGATAGATTAGTTAGAAAGAAAGATAGATAGATTAGTTAGAAAAAAGATAGATAGATAGATAGATAGATAGATAGATAGATAGATAGATAGATAGATAGATAGATAGATAGATAGATAGATAGATAGATAGATAGATAGATAGATAGATAGATAGATAGATAGATAGATAGATAGCATGTATGTTTATTGAGAATTGCACTAAATGAACTGTTCATGTGTTTTTGCAGAAGACGTGTCACGCCTTACAATCACTCCCCCTCATAATCCCATATGGAAAATGGTGATGCCTAGGCCTCTCTTTTGTCATCATTATCCATGTGTCAGAGTGTGAAAAGGGAGGGCAGGAGGAAAATAAATGGGGGAAACGAAGGAGAAGGAGACAGGAGGCAGGAGGAACGCGCAAGAAGATTAGAGAATGATTGGCTAAAGGAGGATTAAAAACTCAGCCCAGTTGCCCGAGGTTCAGCTCCTACTCCAATCGTGTGTAAGTGCGTATCTGAGTATTTATGAGTGTTGCATGCATGTGTGTGTATGCACCTGCTTGCATCTCTCTCTCTCTCTCTAGTGTGACCAATGGCTGTTTACCGCTCTCAACACATGTTGAGCTGACCAGCAGAACAGGTTAGAAAGAGCAAACAGAAGTGGGAGGGGAGAGAGGTAGAGTAGAGAGAGAGAGAGAGAGAGAGAGGGGCCAGCGAGAAAGACTTGTCAGAGAAAGCCACAAACGCATCGAAGGAAAAGGGAAGCTCATCTCTCTCTCTCTCTCTCTGTGTGTGTGCAGCCTATGTGAAGACAGCTGCAAAAGGAAGTAAGATTATGGAAATGTTGTTTGGCACAATATTGCAACAGATTGTTCTTTGTTGCTGTAAATGCATGCTGTAAATATGTGAGTTATGTATCATGTGAGAATCATGTCTTGCAGTAACACGTCGTGTTTATGTAACTTTATGCATGATCCAGCTCAACCAATATCGTTCACACGTCAATATTTATTCACAAGCAAGATGGTGATTGAAATCTTGACACATCTCGCACACAGCATGCAAAGGTGTTAATATGGTGCCTACGTGTTAACGGCACACTTCAGCTTCATGTCTAGCTGCAATCTATAATTAAGCAGAAGATTTAACTATTCAAGTGGCCTTGTTGTAATCAGAATGCAGTCCTGCTTAAAGTCGTCAGGTCTCTGAAACCTACTCTGTCAGCACGTGTGGAGCAGCCAGAAGCTGTCCGACACTTCTGTCTTTCAGTCTGTTTGCTTGTTTTAGGGTTTGTATTTTCAGCTGCAGGTCTGCACATGTTGATATCATCTTTAATTAAAGCACACTCTGACAGCACACAGGCTCCTCTGTCACTATGTGCCTCCAGTGGATCGTGTTTGGGGTTCTTATAAGCGACCCATTGTGTTTGCACAGAAAGTCGGAGCTGAAGTCCTTATTCAGAGCTTTAATATTAGGAATGTATTAGGATTAGTGCCAGCACTGTAATATCTCCAACACGTGGTGCCGGTGGCGGTATATTGCACACATGCGGTATTTTGTACTGCCCACACACCAGTGTTAATTTTGGCAACCATTTTTGATTTAGTCAACTTTTAGTCAGACTGCAGATACCGACATCAATTTTTGGTAGCTATTTATTATGTAGTCTTTACTATTTAGACAAAAAAAAATGTTTATTATAATCATAATTTTTCTCTTTAGGCCAATTCAGTTAAGTTTATTAGAAATTAAAACAGGTTGTATTGACATTACACTCTTTAGCAGTAGCACTTGTGCAATTCTTTTCATTAGTTCAGTGGTTCTCCAAATATTTCGTTCAGTTCTATTGTCATACTGCAAATGGAAGTTCAAGTCGACTCGAGACTGTTAAGTGCTTTGCGTTGTGGTATCCCACTCGGTGTGCTCTGCTTTATGTCCTGCACATTGTAGTAGATCATCTGGTGTTTTGTTTGTGCATAGCATACTGCAAAAAGTAATATGCTCAACATTCCCATAGTCTCTCACTGTTTTCTTTGAACTTCACTGAACTGAGATGAATGGTCATGCTCAAGTCTGTTCTGTGATCATTAACATGTGTTTAGTGCTTTCTTCTCTAATGGCTCGTTTCCACTGAGGGTACGGTACGGTACAGTACAGTACGGTACGGGTCGGGTACACCATGATCAGGCTTGCGTTTCCACCGCCAACAGTATACCCTTACTTGATAGGCGTGGTATGCTGGAAAGAAGCGATCGACGTCATTTTCGCGCGAAGAAAGTGACATAGGCCTAGTAAACAAGGATGACAGACGGCAGATCTTGTTCTTGCTTCTCGGCATGTTTGTCACTAGAAACAAGCGCTGGCATTAGGCGTTTCCAAGAAGCCAACGCAAAGTCCGACTCAGGAGAATGATCCCGAGGACGCGAGTCCAGTAATGCTGTTAATGGAACAGCGCGTTCTTGAACGCGGCGCTCTGCTCGCTCTGCAACTCCGGTTATCTCTGTATGTTCATTTTAGGCAACAATAAAACGAAATATGTTATAAAACACCACTCTGCTTCTTTTCGATTTCATTTCAATACATTTTAAACATTCTAAAGCACATAAATGTGGTTCAGGCAACGCATAGC